GTAATTCCCGTATACATGTCCTCCATCAAAAGGCTAACCCACATATTCAATCTCCCCAAGCAACCTTAAACTTCTGAGACTATTTCAGAATTTAAATGAGCTCGAATAGGCTATTTCAGAATTTAACTCCCACTAATATTATTCATTCTGGATCAATTTGTTACAGTATGCGATTTTTTTCTCTAAAAACGTTTTCAAGACGTATTCAAATAGTACATGCAAGATTTTACTTTATCTACAGATTTTAACTTTAACGGCATATTCAAACGCCATTTTAAATCTTAATTTTGCGTTGCTTATATTTTATAATTCAAATAAAAAAAATTCAATTGTTGAGATTTGAACTCTCGAACTAAACAAACAAGAATCATTATTAGAACTATTTTTATGTTTTTCAACATATGAAAGTACTAATGTAATTATTTATCAATGACATAATTTTAAAGATGACAATGTCCCATATTATTTTATAAGAAAATATTATTTATTCAACCTTTGCTTTCTTAAAAAATAATAATCACTTGTTAATTTTATAGTCACCGTTTGCTTGCTCGTGAGTAGAATGTGTATAATTTTAAACTTAACCATCTAGAATTTCTTAGCTATATATATTATGGAGGCAATTAGTATCCTTTACGAAAAAAAACAAACTGATCAAACGATCTAGAATTCCTTAACTAGCTTAACAAGCCTAACAAAGCAATTCTAATAACAAACCATTAACCACTAACCATTTATCACAAGGATAATTAATTACTAACACAATCCTATCAGATATCACATTGTAATACGATATTGTCAAGAAGTCTTTGGAATCAGTGGAATCAACATTAATAAAAAATAAAAAAAAAGGAGAAAAGTTGTTAATTAGATGGGATTCGGTAGTTTGCTGGGGCTTATCCATGGCCTAAAGTAGAGTTTATCCATGGCCTTGTCACAATGAAGCTTTTTAGCTTGTTGAGAAACCTCCTTTCTTTTTGTAGGATTCTCTTTCTTTCTAGTGTTGCATTCTCCCATTATATTATATTTTATTTGTAGGTTTATGGTCTCAAACAATCTGAAAATTCGTTTGCGTTGATAATCTATGCTTAGCTATAATAGAGAGTATGGTCAAAATTTATCACCTAAAAAATTATTAGCTAAAATAACTTTCTAGCAATCGATAATCTTTTCTTGCTCAACAATTTGTAGTGGTAAGCAAACGTTAATTTACTTTCTGAGCATTTTCTTTTTAATTTCTGTGGACATAATTAAAAAAAATCATTTAATAAATCGATAAATGTGTACCTTGTGTGTAACTTTAATAACTTTCTAGCAATCGATAATCTTTTATTACTCAACAATTTGTAGTGGTAAGCAAACGTTTACTTTCTGAGCATTTTCTTTTTAATTTCTGTGGACATAATTAACAAAAATCATTTAATAAATCGATAAATGTGTACCTTGTGTGTAACTTTAAAATTAATCCGCTGATTAACTAATGAACAATGTATATAATTTATTATTATGTATAAGACAAATTAAATTAAAGAAAATTAATTAATTGGAAACCATTTTAATAGTCTAAGAAATATTATTATTTAACTTTTTAAAATAAGATATATAATAATTTTATATATAAAAGATTAGTATTGTTATTACAATCTGTCCGTCATAGGTAACAGATTTAAACTTTAAAGCGCAAATAAGGCAATACTTATATAGTTACATTAGGAGTTTGAATTTGAATCTAATACTAATATACTATCAAATAATTTAAACTTAATACTTATCTCCTAATAACTAATAATTTAAAATTTTTCAAGCTTTAAACTAAAAAATAATCACTAATCTAATCTCTAAATTCCAAAGATAAATTAAATACAAACTAATTTAAATTTAAATAAATTAATCATCCTTATCAATACGTAATTCCGGTATATACGAGTCCTCCATCAAATGGCTAACCCACGTATTCAATCTCCACAAACAACCTTAAAGTTATGAGACTATTTCAGAATTTAAATGAGCTTATTTATCTCCCACTAATTTTATTCGTTCTGGATCAATTTGTTACAGTATGCGATTTTTTTTCTCTAAACAAGTTTTCAAGACGTATCCAAATATTACATTTAAGATTTTACTTTATGTATAGATTTTAACTGCATATTCAAACGTTATTTTAAATTTAATTTTACAGTTTAAATTAGACTGGTTATATTTTGTAATTCAAATAAAAAAAATTCAAATTATTACTGTTAGAACTATTAGTTGGTAAATTTGTTGGCAAAAGGTTGTAAATTCAAAAAGAAAATCAACAAGATTATGGACTGTTATGGAGACTCTATTCTTGGCTACTTGTACCGGATTTAGGATGATAATTTGGGATGATTTCCTCAATAAAAGGAAATAAGTTTATGGAGCTGATTTGGTTGACTTTTGGTGGCCAATTGATGTGGTGTGTATGGAAAGAATCTGTGGAGGAAAGGTTGCCTTGTTTAGGGCGTTTTTGGAGGAGAAATGGATGTAGTTGACATTTGATCATCATTCCCATTAAGAGCTTTGTGATATAAAGGTGATGAGGCAGTAGAAATGGAAAGTAGAGTACTCTTGCTATATATTCATATGTGTGTGTACGTGAAGGTGAAGGTGTGCCTTGGAAGAGAAAAAAAATGAGCTTTTGTGTTTTATGGGTTTAAAAGTAATTTAATGCCATATTTTGGGGCATGGGTTTTAGAGATATATTTTTCAGAAAAAGTCTGTGACAGTAAACTTTGAGTGTTGAGAGGCCTTCTTTCTTTTTGTAGGATTCTCTTTCTTTCTAGTGTTGCATTCTCCCAATATATTATTTGTAGGTTTATCGTCTCAAGAATTCCGAGAAATCGTTTGGGTTGATATATTTTTTGTGTTCAATCTAAACAATCTGAAGAATCATTTTTTTTCCTTTTTTTTTCTTTTTTTTTACCAGAATGTTTAAAAGTACTTGTTACAAACTCCTAAATAATTTTTTGCTTAATTACAGGTCTGCCAGTTACCGTTATTTCATGTGCAATTCTGCAATCAAAAGACTAATTACTCTCTCTAGATATGGCAGCATATCTTAGAGCAACTCTAACCATGTTAGTTATTTTATATTTTTAACCAAAATGACTAATGATTTAGCTAGAATTTAGGTTTTCACTACTCCAATCATTAGCTAAATGGTTGCCTATTTTGGAGAATTCATTTCACACTAGCTAAATATAACTTGCAAGATGGGGCTAGCTATTTGATTTTTTGTATTATTTTGTTCTTTCAAATCATAATAAATGCAAAGGTTCTTTCAAAATTCAATAAAGTTATTTATTTTTTAAACTCAATAAAGTATTAAGAATAAATTGAAATACTTAGCATATATGGATTAAACATCTATTAACTAAAAAGAAGATTGAGAATCTGAAATTCATAATCCGGCTACATCGTAACCCTAGAAAAAGGAAATTAGTTCATCTCGAAACAAAATAAATTCCTAAACAAAGTCTTAATCATTGGAAAGGAAAGAAAAGAACTAGGTTGGAGTTGAATTGAAGTGTCTCCGTCTCCGGATTTGAGCCGTTCTTCTTCTCTGTACCCAATTCTCCTTTTCCTCTCTTGAATCTTCTCCCAAAAGTCAGCCGTCACTCCCCAGTCCAACAGTTCCTTTCATTGCCCTAGATTCATCTATTTATATCTTTTGGAGCATTAGGGTCAAAGCCGGTAAGTTTTCTTACGATTGGCCTTAAAAACGCGTCCTTTCTCGTGTTGTAGCGCCGCGGCGCTGAGTTCCTAGCACTGCGGCGCTGGCTGTGCAGAATCATGGGCGCCAAAACGCTATCATGGGCGCCAAAACGCTACCCATTCTGTCCAAATGTCATGGTTTTGTAAAACTGAGCGCTACAACGCTACAAATTGGCGCCTAAGCGCTATGTTTGCTGTCTTTTTCCACCAAAAGTTGTCCAAAACCTTCCAAATCATAGACTTTCACCTAACCTTCAAACAAAGAACAAAAACACACATAAAAACTAACAAAAATCTCGAAAACCAGCTAGATAGTAAGTGTAAAACAATACTAAATGAGCGAGTAAAACTCACTCATCACCCTCATACGTAACAGATTATCACTAATCATAATTATCAATAGGTAATTCCCGTATACAAGTCCTCCATCAAAAGGCTAACCCACGTATTCAATCCCCATTAACAACCTTAAAGTTCTCAGACTATTGCAGAATTTAAATGAGCTCGAACAGGTTATTTCTGAATTTATCTCCCACTAATTTTATTCATTCTGGATCAATTTGTTACAGTACGCGATTTTTTTGTCTAAAAAAGCTTTCAAGACGTATCCAAGACGTGTCCAAAAATCTAGATTTTAACTTTAATTGGATATCTAAGCGCCATTTTAAATTTTAATTTTACTGTTTAAATCAGACTGTTTATATGTTATTATTCAAACCAAAAAAAATTCAAATTGTTACGATTTGAACTCCAGAACCAAACAAACAAAGAAGAATCGTGGGAACTATTTTTATATTTTCAGAATATGAAAGTACTAATGTAAATATTTGAAAGATAATGTCCCATATTATTTATTCAACCTTTGCTTTCTTATTAAATTATAATCACGTGTTAATTTTATATTCAACGTTTGCTTGCTCGTGAGTAGAACGTGTATAATTTTAAACTTAACCATCTAGAGATTCTGAGCTATATTATATGGAGGCAATTAGTATCCTTTACAAAGAAAACAAACTGATCAAACGAATTGATCAAGAAAAATGAAGTACTTGAAATTTTCTTCGTTCTTTGCCAAAATTATCATCTTTCTCTTTCCATTTGCGTTGCTAGCTTCCAGTGATCACACTCATGAACACTTTCTTCAATGCCTCACCACTCGTATATCCAACCTTACCTCCACTCATGAAACCATTATTTATACTCGAAATGATACGTCGTATTCTACCCTGTTGAATTCCTTCATACATAACCAACGTTTCAATGAATCAACCCCAAAACCTTTCGCTATCATCACACCATTTAATGTCTCCCACATCCAAGTCACTGTTTACTGCTCCCAAAAGCATGGCATGCTAATCAAAGTTCGAAGTGGTGGCCATGATTATGAGGGTCTTTCTTTCGTGTCTAATGAGCCCCCTTTTATCATACTTGAGTTGAGAAACCTAAGCTCGATTAGTGTTGATGTGGAGGGCAAGTCAGCATGGGTTCAAGCTGGAGCTACAGTAGGTGAAGTTTATTATAGGGTTGCCGAGAAAACTGGAAATCTTAGCTTCCCCGCCGGCGTTTGTAGCACTGTGGGTGTTGGTGGACATTTGAGTGCAGGAGGCTACGGGTATTTGGCGCGAAAATATGGGGTTTCAGCTGATAATATTATTGACGCGCAGATAATCGACGCCCAAGGTAGAATTCTTGATAGGAAATCTATGGGGGAAGATTTGTTTTGGGCCATACGTGGTGGTGGAGCAGCAAGCTTCGGAATCGTTGTTGCATGGAAACTTCAACTAGTTCCCGTGCCATCAACGGTGACTGTGTTTAATGTCCAAAGGAATATGGACGACGATGCAACAAAGAAGCTCGTACATCGATGGCAACGGCGCGCCCACAAAGTCGATGACGATCTAACAATCTTCATCAGGTTCGTAACCATGAATTCTACAGATAAGAAGGGGAATAAGAAAATTACGATACAACCTAACTTCTCGGCCACATTCCTAGGAGGTGTAGATACATTGCTTCAGTTGATGCAGAAGGAGTTTCCTGAGATGGGTTTGGTAAGACAAGATTGTACCGAAATGAGATATGTGGAATCCTATCTCTATTATACTTGACAGGGAAATGAATCCTTGGATCCTTTACTTGATAGGACAATTGTGTCCAATGGTTTGTCATACAAAATGAAATCTGACTATGTGAAAGAGCTTATTCCAGATGACGTAGTGGAAGGAATGTTGAGAAGGATGCTTGACGAAGAGGTGGGAATAACGACTATTACTTTTTTTCCTTACGGAGGAAAAATGAACAAGATTTTAGAATCTGCGATTCCATTTCCACACCGAGCCGGAAACCTATTCAACATTCATTACCAAGTGACTTGGAAAGGAGCGTCCAACAAACATCTAAGCTGGATAAGAATAATTTACAATTACATGACTCCGTATGTGTCAAAAAATCCGAGAACTGTATATTTCAACTTTAGAGACCTTGACATTGGGATGAATGAGAAAAGAAGTAACTCCACAAGTACCCTTACTCGTATAGCAAAAGCAAATATTTGGGGTACTAAATATTTTAAGAATAACTTCAACAAGTTGATTCAGGTGAAGACAAAAGTTGATCCAGCTGATTTTTTTAGAAATGAACAAAGCATTCCTTCTCTTCTTAGCCCTTAAAAGGTGATTAGAGATTATTGTGGATTAAATTAAAACAATAGCTTTCTTATGTTTTCCTTTCCAAATAAAGGTGTCCATGGGATTGGCGTCTTGAAAGTATGATATGTAATAAAAGACTTTATTATTATGTAATAAAATTCATTATAGTGTGCATGTATCATTGAATGTTTTATGAATATCATTGAAAATTTTACGATTATTTATGTGATCTTAAATATTTTGTATAAATATTACATATATACTAGT